TGTCTGCTAAACTCAAATTTCTATTTATACTGTCAGCACAGGCTCCATGCTGTTGCCTTTTCTTTGCCTTTCCAGTTTGTCATGTATCGAGGGACAGCTTCACAAACACTGCATAGGAGGGGGGGCCTGAGCACATTCCAGACCTTTTGCAGGTTCAAAATACTAAGTCTCCATGTTGTGGATTGCTTAAAAATAGTTGTAATGCAAGCAAAGTGGCATGAAATATGCTGTTTGCACCCAAAGCAAGTATTCTACAGAAAGACTTAGCTTTGCCATCAGCTGGCATGGCTCACATTCCCACATTGTGCACTGACGTCATGCTGCTACATAGCTGACCCCATTTACACCATCTTCCACTTACACCATGAATACACAGGTGACTACAGAGTAAATGGTCCAAAAATGCACTCAATAAACTACTGCATCAGCTTTTCAACTAAAATATCCTTGATTTCAGCATTGTGCTCCAACATTCATCCACCCCTTGTATATCATGAGCTAGACTGCTGCAGTGAACAAGTACAGGGGAAATTTCAGATGTATAAAGTAGAAGTTGTGAGAGTGAGTAGAAAAGTGAGGGTGACTGAGCACTGGCATGGGTTGCCCAGGGACGTTGTGGAGTCTACATCCTTGGAGATAATTCAAAAGCCATTTGGACTTGGTCCTGGGCAACTCGTCTAGGTGTCACTGCTTGAACAGGCGGGTTGGACAAGATAACCTCCAGAGGTGCCTGCCAACCTCAGCTGTTCTGTGATTCTGTGAAATTTTTCCTATGCAATACTACTATGAACTGTAATATTTGACAATATTTGCATAACTTTTGCAATTGAAAAAGGATATCCTTAACCTGTTACTTAAATAAACCCAACAACTACATTGAACTCCTTTGAAACTAAATAGAAGGTTGAATTATATAACAAATATTTTAGCTGAACTATCATTATTAGCTGGGTAATTCTTCTGACTGTATTTCAAATTTAATTTCATTCTGTGGTAGAATTCTGTGTCTGAACTCTTTAGGGTCTAGAAAATGGTCTTAAAAGGCAACATTTCCAGAGAGATTCCCACATATAAAATACATCAGTGTTTCCTAAAGAACCTCAGTGAGTTCACAAGGAATCATTACATTGATAAATTATGTCAATGAGGCTTTTGAAAGAAGACTGTTCATTTAGTGCTACTTTTCCCTGAATGTGGAAGCTATGGAAAATGTGTGAAAAACATTTGCAAAGTGATGACTGCAGCTATATGCTCTGTATGTTGCTGTTAATGAGCTATCTGTTAATAAACCGTACACTTCAGCACATAAACAGGAGGATTTATGCTTAATGCAAAACCCATAAAAAGACTTACTGTTTGGTACAACTGTTTCCCAAATCAGACAGGCACGTGGCTCTAGTCTTCCATGAACTTCCAGTATAAAAATCTGCCTACTGGCTTGAAGTTTCTTTTCAGCCTGAGCAATTTTGAGTTAGCTGCTTCTCCTCACTTTGCAAAGGGGCAGTCACTGCGTGTCACCAGTCAAAGTACTACGGATGAACTTGTCGCCAAAGACCAGAAGTAAATGTGTACATGTGTGCACATGTGAGGTTGTATGGGGAGCAAGGAACTAGAGAAGCAGAGAATTTAATGTGCACCAGGTCCTTCAGGTCTCTGCTTTGCACAACCTGGGATTGTAAACTTGTCATCGTGGTTACTAACAGCAAGCAGGAGGTACCCGTGGAATATCCCCAGTTCTAATGATTTGTGGAGGCAAGTTCATCTCGTTCTTTTTCTGTGTTCTTCTGTACTAGAGCTTTATGTGTCAATTATCACTACTAAAGCCCTAAACAAGCCCCTCTTCTTCAAAACACAGACAAAAGCAACCATTGGGCTTATTCACAATAATGCTTGGATTAGTTAAAGAAACCACATTCACCAACAGGAAAAGAGAAGTAAATTTCTAAGCTATTGAATAACACTGCTATGTTTGGAAAGGATTTTCCTTTTGTAATTCCCCTTTAATTTCCTCCCATCCAGAGCTGCTGAGAGGAATCTGAAGCTAGGTTTTCATGAGTGACTAAAGGAGTCCAGCAACTGACTCCTGTTTAAAATCAATGGTCCTGGAAATGTAAGGTAACATTTCCATAAACACATGAGTAATTTGAGTTTTAAGTTCCACTAAAAAGCATCCAGTACTTCCAACTCCCCAAGTCAGACAGGGAAAAGACAGACCAGTGAACTAATCCTTATTAAAGGATAAGCAGGGATTGAATGAAGGAACATAAAGCACGAGAAAATAAGGAGGGAACTGAGGACAGAGAAGACGACTATGTTAAAGAAGTTTATACACTGAGGCATAAAAGGCAGTTCAACAGGAAAAAGGATAGACAGAAAGAATATTGAGCTCTATAAACTGAAACATTACTTTCAGTTGCTTAGGTTTTCTTTTGATTTTGAGATATGACCTTAGTAAACCCACATAAAATTGTATAACTTTATCACCTGACTCAGTGCCTCTGAATTCAGCACAATACATTTTTTGCATTCTGCTTCCTGATCAGATTAGAAAGTGTCTGAAGTTAAACTGTGCATTTTGGTAACCTTTCTGAATAGGTTCACTTTCTTCATTTCAGTTGTTGTTTTTCAATTTAAAAATATTATTCAAATACCACATTTGGGTGGGTAGTGGCTACCATGACACTGTGTAGAAAACCAAAGCAATTTGAAGCAAGCTAGACATTCTGAGTACATTTTTAAAATACCTTATTGCTTAAATAAAATAAACTTAAATCCCTCAGTCTAGCAATTACTTTCAGATGTTTGATTGTTTATTTTTAAAGAACTGTCACATCAACCATTTAGAACTGACAAGTACTATTTTGATATCTTCACGAGTTTTCTCTAACATCTGCTCCCTGCCTTATGTTGGAAACTATGTACTCATCTTCATTGTCTCTTGTATTTATCTTAATTTTGCTGTATTTTATTTTATTAGAGGAAAAACTTAGCAGAGCTGTTTGTGGCAAGATTTAGTTACAGGAAGCCCAAAAGCTAAGCCCCAGTTTCAGATGAGACAATTAGACTGTTGATTTTGGTAACAGCTCAGGACTTCTATTGGACCCAAATGCCTTTCAAGTCTATCTGCCAGTCAATGCTCAAGTCTAAAAATTTTCTGTATTCTTGCTACAGATAAAGGGCTTTGTTTCCTTTTAATTTGAAGGATATTTCTATCCAGATCTGAATGTTTTGCTGAGATTCTTCTCTATTCACTGGAATAGATTAAAAAAAAAAAAAAAGGAAAAAATATTTTCCAGAACTTTCAACCCTTTTTAAAGGCTTTTTTCCCCTTAATTCTGTGTTCCTTGATATCTGTGAATTGTTGAGGACAGTGTTTGTTTTTCTCAAAGCAGTTTTGGCACGCATGAGAAGTAGCAGGTGCTAATTTGTCATGCTTAGCTTAACCATTGCTTTTTCTGTCTAGTAAATGTATTTAATAGCTTATGTTACTGTTTCACCTGCTGTAGGTAAAGGACTCTAAAATACTGAACACGTGATACTTTTTTTCAAGTGATCTGTATTATTATATAACACCAGAAGATCTTTATCAATCTTTATCAAAAGGTTTGAAGAAATTACTAATAAAAAAGCAGTGTTCTTATACAGTCTTTTCATCAACTGCTATAGAAACGTTGCAGCCAAGTTATCAAAGTCCACTTGGATGGATGTTTTATTGCTAGGCGGATTGGGCTCTAAAACTTTCTTATGGATGCTCTGGGAGAATGTAAATACTAGCTGGGAAGTGTTTTATTCTCTATTAATATTTTGTGGGCTGGAGCCTTGGGCTATATGATTTCTTTTTCTTTTTTTTTTTTTTTCCATTTGTTTCCTTTTTTTTTTTTCTTGTTAGACTTTTATAGCACCCGGTGTAGGGCAGGTCACAGCAGCCGATGCCGGGTGAAACGGTTACCAGGGACAGCTCCAGCGGCGGACACCGCCAGAGATCCTAATACCCTGGCGCTGGGCCAGTCCACCCCAGTGCCTGGAGAAGTTCAGTGGGTTCCCAGAGCAGGGTCTCTGCCAGGGCTGATGCTCTAGAGCCGTGTGTTTGTAGAGTCATGTTTACGTGACTCTACTGGTTTCATTTCAGACAAATTGTGTAGGATTTCTCCGCAAGAGAGAAACATGATCGAATGTGGTGCTCATCCTCCTTAAAAGACGTTCAGAAAATCTGAGGAATTTACGTGATTAATTCTTAACAGGTGGATTCTCTTAATTAGCTATCTAGAAACCAAAACAGGACATTGCAGGACACTACTGCAATGCAGCTTGTTAAGCAATAATGCATTTTTTCTTCCAAAAGTCACACTTGATAACAAACAAAAGGCATAGGCATAAGATGACTGGATACTATGAGCTAATGTCTAGTTGTCAGAAACTTTTCCATTAAAGCTCAGAATGATGTTTAACATATTCTTCCCATTATTGAGCTAAACTAAACATTGCATTAAACATGGATTTCCCAATGAATGTTACTGCTGTTTATTTTTACATGTGCATACATATAGAAGCAGACACGTGTACACATGCATTTTGGATATCAAATGCACATCAATAACATGGTACACTCTATTCCCAGGATATAATGTTTTTTGACATTTCCTTTTTAATGAAATGTGTCCTTATTCTTTTGTGACCATAAAAATAGATTTAAAACAAGATTCTTTAAACAAACATGAAATGCCAAAATTACATGTTCTCTCCTATTAAACAATGGAGAATGACTGAAAGTGTAGATTAATTATCTAGGGAAAAAAATGCTGCTGAGGATGATCACCAAAATTTATGTACCATATATTTTTCTACTCAAAATTCAAAAGCTTTGGTGTATAGCAAACACTTTAATAACTTATCAAATCCTGTGGGTGATAGCTTTAAGACAACTTCAGTTTTAAGCCTTTGCACTTTGTTTTTAGCATTATTTGTAACTCATTTAGGATTTCAAAGCTGGATATACTTACATTTAGATTTCGGGAAAGGGCAGAAGAAGGACAGGTTGTTTGCTTTTCACTTTAAGAGACCTAGATTTCCTGATTGTGTTGGGCCCGTTGTTACTTTGTTGATTTTAAGTTGGTCCCTAGGGGGAAAAGAAAGCTTATAAGAAATGTATGAGCACTCTAGCTTTTTTGCAGAAATATTAAGGCATATTGGCCAAGATTTTCAAACATAGTGGCTTAACATAGTCTTTTAACTCCATATTCAGGCTTCTTATTCAAGGTCTACTGTTCAGAAGGATGAAAACCTGGCAACTCATGCACTTTGAGTAGCCTTTTTAGTTACTCAGTGCTTGTGAAAACTGATGTAGCAGTTTGAATATGGACTAAAAATCCTAATGTTTGGTATTTTTGTGGCAACCCTGTAATAATTATGCTGTAAATCAAAATATGGGTTTGGATTTCAAGAAAAGTGCCTTGAGCCTTGCTCCCACTCTTCTGCAGAGACACTGCATAGCTTTTTCAGATTATTAGGTATAAAATTATCAGTTTGAAGGACAGCTGACAAACTTTTACTTAGTATCTTTCTCCATGTGTTGCCCCCATGAAAATGTACATACAAACCTGTTCATGCAATGTGCAACATAAAGTCATTAGTTTCCAAGAGGCTTGGATTGATATGATGTGCTTGGAACCGCCGTACAAAGTCCCAAGCATGACTGCACTCGTAATGCAAGGATGCTAACAAGGGGAGCCACAGGCAATGCTAATGTCCTGTATAAATATAAAATATGCTTATCTATTTTATAGGCTAATCACTCTTATGCAGCTGCTACCAAGTCATATGTACTTTGCCTAACTCAAATCCCACTGACATGAACTGGGAAGAGTCTGTGATTTGGTGGGCTCAGCTGCCATCAGGATATTTAGGGTTCAGTATGATAAAGTCCTGGATGGTGAATCCTGGAGACCTGTGCTCCAGCTGGAGCGTGAGTACATACTTGAGTGCTTTGCTGGATCAGACCTAGGGAGGGCCCAGCACCTCTCTGCATAGCCCCTGCACTCAGCTGCTGACAACACACTCCCTTTGCTGCTCAATGTCTATCCTGCATGAACCCATGGGTTACTAGAAAAACAGCTCTTTGGTAAGCAGGGTGATGCTCTTCACATGCTGATTGGCTTTATGGTTGAAAATTGAGATACTTGGCCCAAGATCTTCCTTGCCTGTGTTTTTACCCTCCAGAGCCACTGGTTTCCCAGGCTCAGAGTTAACTCCAGAGAGCCAAACACAGCCAAAGGTATCTCTCCATTTACTTTAAGCATTTTATCAGCCCAGGCAAAATGAAAACTCAAGAGTAGCAGCTCCTAACCTCTGTACAGCTGAGCTTCAGCAGTGCCGTGTACCCCAGGACCCTGGGTGGCCCAGCTGCCACGAGACTATGCTAACCTTAGAGGGAGGAAGCATTTGGAGAGGGAGGAGAGCCAAAAGGGAGTACTGATTTCACAAGGGAAACCTGCAGGTAGCTTGACTGTTTTACCTCAGATTTCTTCAAGCCCATTTGAAATGTGCCTGCTACCCCCTGTTTCATCTGAATGCCACACCTGGGCTATTGGAAGGTCTTTCTTCTGACAAAAGAATTAATTAAATTTTGGTCAAAACAGTACATATTCACAAAAGAAGCTTGAATCTTGTAGAGAGAGGAGCATTTTCTGCCAGAAAGGAGATCTCAAAACATCAGCCCAGGTACCTCCGGAGTACATTGCTGCCAACCAGCCCTTCAGCTTCTGGTCGCTGTCTGGAATCTGTTTCTCCATTTCAGGTGGCTCCAGCTGCCCACCCAGCCGCAGCACGGGCTCTGAGAGCTGCTGCATGATGGCAGCCAGGTGGGTGCCTTCTTCACAAAGCCCAGAGCCCTCACAGAAAGTAACTGGCAGCTTTCCAGGCCCTTTGGTTTAGATTAGGGATTAGATTAGTGATGACAAAGCTTTCTGGCCTCTGGTGTCAAATTTATTCTAAAAAAACTCTGTAATGATTGCCAGCTCAGTTCTCTGGCAATACCGAATCTAGCACTGGCCCCTGATCTGCCCTTGCTTTGGTAGATAATCTGTGGTGATTTTCTCTTGACCCCCTACATCTCTTGCAAGCAGACCCGTTCACCTTGTGATGCAGTTTAGCAGCTGCGCTGCCACCTGGGGAACTGGTAGGAGATAATGCCCAAGTACTGTGGATTATTTGCAGTTGGTTTCATCCAGTTCATCTGAGCTGTACAAAGAAATGTGCATTTGGCACCTTTTCGAGAGGACTCTAAAGCCTGAAGAGCAGAATTGCCAATGCATTATGCACAATCTTGGTGCCATTTGCTTCCTAGTTTTATGAAGAGTAGCTTTTTATTGTTTATCCCGCCAAACAGGCCTTCTCCTTCAAAAAATGAGTCAATAATTCAGAACACATCTACGCCCATTCAGCACTTTTAGAGATGGCTCTGAGCTCCACAGTTCAGCTCTGGATACAAACTTCTGTGCAGCTTGCAGGTGTTTAGGTTTGGGGCTTTGGTTCAGCTTCTTGTGTGGATGAAGGAAAGTCACAAAGTCAGAAGTAGCTTTGAATAGTTAGCAAAATGGAGAGCTGCCAGACTGAAAAGCATGGCAAGCTACTTTGCCTGTGCCTAAGGAGAGAGGGATTAGGTGTTTCAGCCAAACAGCTCATTCCTGCCTCCTGTTTGTACCATCCATGCTGCTGTTACTGCCTTTGTGGGATTAGAGGGTAAAGGAGTGCCAGTGTGTACCAGAGGGTGCCAGTACAGCAGCAGCAGCAATCACATCTGCCCTTTCTACTTCCAACAGCACCATGATTTCTCTGGCTTTCTGCCCTGGTCCTGCTCTAGTTCCTGTCCCTCCAAACCAGGACCAACCCCTCCTTGACAGTCAAGAAGGTACAGAAAAATGTGTAGATGGTGATGGTGGAGATAGCAGAAGTGAAGGGAAGGTCTCTCGGTGTCCTGCCTCTGGGGAGGACGGGAAGGAAGGAAAAGTGGTCGCAAGGAGAAGAGACAACTGTAGGAGCACAAAAAGTGCCCTGTCCCCTCACAGCCTCCCCACACACAGTCCCCTCGGTCCTCAAAAAGCCCCCACAACATCACTGGCAGAGTCCCCACCTTTCCCCCTCACGTGCCTTTCACCATCCCACACCACCACCGCTACCCCTGCCTGCCTTGCCTGCTCCAAGGATGCCCTTGGCCAGTGCTGAGAGTTCGATTTTGCTACACACAGTGTAACCAATAAAAAGCCAAATTCTGGCTTCAGTAAATCACTCAGCAGGGTCTCACTGATTTTTCTGAGAGGAGCTCCTGGCCACTTTGAGATGTTGTTCTCTTTAAAACTAATCTATTATTATTATTGTTATTATTATTATCATCATCATCATCCAGCTCTTCATGTCCTGAGACCGATCACTTAATGTGCATTCTTCCACTTAACTGCTTTCAGAACTGAAAACCTATAATGGTGCAATATTATTTTTTTAACCTGAAAAAATAATCTCATAAAAGATTTCCTACTGATACAATCCCTGTCTTCCCTGTGTTATTGAATCATGTGGAGATCCTGAGATATATATTAGGACTATTTGGAGAAGTTCCAAGTCTAAAGCCATAATGTTGGGGAACATGAAGCAACACAAGGCAGTCTTTTTTGTTATGGAGAAAATAAGTCCCAAGAAGGCTTCCTGGAGAAGCAAGGGAAGGAGGGAATATGAAAGAGAGAGGAGAATGTAAGAAACCATTCCTAAGAGGAAACTTAAGCATTAGATTTCCTGATTGGTAGAGTTTCTTTTCATTGCTCTGCTTTTAAGAATTACATAGTGCAAAGCTGTAGCTGACAGGAGAGGGGAGAATTTATTTTCTGAGTACTAAATCTTCAAATATAGTAAGGTGGCATACACTGTCCCCTCCCTCCCACTCTGCTGCCTGCAGGTATTAACTGGGTGTGAAAAACATTTTGCATTTGCAATTGAAGTGCAGAAAGGCAAAAGCAGAAAAGCAGAAAATCACTGTATTCTCTCTCTTAACACAGAAACAGCATGACCCCTGGTTAATTTAAGCAGTCACATAAATATAACTTCTATTTTAAGCATATACTTAAGTCCTGCTGATTGAATATTCAGCACAAACACAAATTACTTTTGTGGAATGAGGTTTGCATTGAACTGGATCTACTTAGTAAAATATTTCAATCTGGTGTTTGAGGGACAAAAGAGGACTTTGGGCAACTGTTGCCTCTGTAGCAAAATCGCTGCTGTACTCATTGTTTGTGCTATTTTCTAGTGAATTTTTAAAATTTTTGTGAGAGAGAACTACTGTGGAATAGAAGGCTGGTCTGGAGAAAAGTCACAGGAATGTGTACACATAATTAGATCTTCTGAAAGTAACATGCTACGTAAGATTTCCTAAACTGTACCAGAAAACATTGACATCCTGGAACTGACATTTGCAATTTCAAATACCAGCTTTCCAGGCATAATTAGTGTCCTTGTAAATGTTTCAGTATCAAATTTGGGACACACTTTGGACAAGCCAGTCCATAAACTCTGTATTATTTTTTTTTCCCATTAATTATTTCCTTTTCCAGTGTTCCAGGGATGACAGCTGTGATATTTAAAGCTAAGAAATAGCAAATTGAAATAGCATGTTTTAAAGTATTTATTACATTTCATTACAGTATATATAAGTTGCTTTCATTTATAATTCACTCTTTTCTCCTGATGTTCTTTTTTTGCTTAAAGTACGTATGATTCCCATCCTCCCTCATACAAAATACACAAATACTTTTACATAACTACATCTTTCCTCTAGTCACACACCAAAATAGAGGGTAGAGGATATGAAAATTACTTATGACAGATGAGTCACATTAATGTTTTGTTCTAAGCCATGAGAAAAATGAGACACAAGGGGTAGGAATCAGAACAGATCAAAACCCTTAGTGCTTTATGATCCAAAACCACAACTATCTATTGAGGTGCAAAATGTTCTTTTTTCAAATAGAGTGTAAGAAAAATACAAAAAGTTTTGTACTGCAAATACTGGCAGCACACAATGTTGCAATTATTCTCAATATTTGAGATGCTTGAATCATAACCAAAATT